GAGCTCCTCTTGCCTCCTGGAACGAGTAGCTTTGACGCCAGGAGCAATACGTCTCAGTTTTTTCTCCCTCGGTTCCGTTACAGTTGGGACTATAGCAGTGACAGTCTCTTGGGTAGAAGTCTGAGCATGAGTGGAGGTAATGGAACTTGTATCACATGTGGCAGAAGTGGAAAGGGACGGATTGGCAGAAGATCTCTGAACAACAGGTTTCTGAGCAGTTGATGCTAGAGAGAGAGCAGCATTAGAAGGATTGTAAGTGGATGTGACTGTATTCTCATCAGGTTTGGGCCTTGTCTCAACACTGGCTTCAGCATTTTTATCAGCCTTTAAAGCATTAGGTTTGAGTCTGGAGATCTTTGACATCAGCTCTGTATGTGTCCCACTCACAGCTTTGGAAACTGTGTGCAGCGTGTTCCTGACACGAGACATATGTCGGCTCAGGCCAGCAGACCACTTTGAAGCTGAAGTGTTCAAATACAGGGTGCTGGTGTGGAGGCCAAGCCGATGTCTAACTTGGTTACCTTTAAAGAACCCCACCTTGCGACCCTTGGCCCTCAGGTGGTGAATGTGCCTCCAGCTGAGATAGCATTCCTTATGGAAAACAGGCTGCTGTGCATGACTCTTACAGTGAAACGCACCACACAAAGGCAATGATGCTGCTGGTTTGTGAGCATGGGACTGCCATATAAGCAATGCTCTACTTATTTTCACCCAGGTATTTGAAGCCCATCTGTGATTCATATTCTTTCAGTCCACAAGGGTTTAACCCATTCGAAGAAATATCAAGAGTACACCCGTGCTTTCCCCATTCATTAACCTGGTAATGAAAAAAAAAGTTTACATCACCACTACATACACCCAATAAGGGAAACACTGTATAGAATTAATAACCACAGAGCGTAATGCTATATCAAATCTATCATTGTATCACACACTGTTTATAGTAAATTGTTGACTTAAATTTGCAAGTCAATAAAGCCCTTTGGAATGAATCGATTTAAAAATAAAATATTTTTAACAATTGCATAACAGAAAAAATACCAAAAGAGTTCTTGTTAATCTGGTGTTTGAGTATCGCTCAACTTTTAACAAGCACTATTTCATTAACTGTCACAGGTGAGAGGACAACAGGTTCACTGTTAACTATGTCAACATCAGCAACTAGCTAACAGAGTACCGCTAAACGCTAGCTTTTATACAGGCCGCACACAAAACAACAAGGCATACCAGTCCTTTGTTTTGTTCTTTCACGAGAGACCAGATTCACTTAATCCTTCTATTATCGGCCATCCTTGATTAACCATAACACAAAAGCATAACACCTTACGGGAGTGTAATAGGTTGCTCGACCCGATGCCTAATTTCCAGAGTGATGTGACATCAACAGTCGAAAGAAAAACAATGGTCACATGATCTTCCATCTTCGCTGCGATTGGCCAGTTGTCCTTTGGTCCTCTAAATAGTTTCTGTTGATTGGTTAAGCAGATTCTCCACCATTGACGGCTGCATAGGGTACACTTAATATGCTTTACGGTGTATGCCGAATGTGTCCAGGGGAAGCGGAGTCAGCATTTTCTATGAAGAAATTGTCCCCACACGTTTTTTGAAACTCGGGATTTGCTGTTAAAAATTGAAGCGCTGCAGGTGGAATTAAAGAAATGCTACCCAAATAGTTCAATCACATAAACAGCCAAAAACTTTTGCATCAAAATTAAATAAAACCACTTGTGCGTATTCAAATAGTTATAGCGAGTTTAGTAACTAATGCGAGTGCCTGTGGGACTCACAACACTAATTATGGACATTTTAAGAAGGAATATTTACGGCATTGACCGACAGAGGGAGGCAGATAAGATAGAATTCGTCAGGTCTAAAGAGATACCGCAAAACTAGCGAAGAAGACATGGAACTAGTCTCATTTCACACTACTCGTCTATAACACCTACTAATAACAACTTAATACCATGATGTTTGGTGTTGGTTAAACGGTTAATGACCGCTTGTGTAGAAAGGAAGCGGCAGACGACACCCAGACAGGTAATTGATTGAGTCGCAGCCTGAGTAGACTGTGATGGGGACCGCTAGCATGTGTTAGCCACGGCAGGCTAGTATTAAGAGAGGTTGGTGCCGCCGTTTAAAAATGTAAAAATGTAAAAGATAAATTCTAATTCAAACAGCAGTAGCCTGTACCAGTTCTTTTCTTATTGGCTAAGTTTTCATTCTCCAAATGTAGGTTAAGACAGATGTTGCGTTTAAAAGGCGGTGGTTCTTCAGAGGCTAGGACATGTGATACTACCAGTTACACCGTGCTGTCTGGCTTGAAACTCACTATTTGTGCTGTACTTTTCTCTCTTGAATGACAGGACACTGGAGCCATGGCAGCTGCACAGTCTGTGCTAACGTTTGCAGTGTGCGTCCTCGTGATAACAGAGCTGATACTTGCCAAGAAGGACTACTATGACATACTGGGAGTGCCTAAAGGGGCCACAGAGCGCCAGATAAAGAAGGCTTTCCACAAGCTTGCAAAGAAATATCACCCAGATAAGAACAAGAGCCCTGATGCTGAAGTGAGATTTAGGGAAATTGCTGGAGGTACAGCTGATTTGTTTATTTTGGCGTATTTTGGGAAAATTCGTAGTTATCTGGCATGTCTTGGATATGATTGTTATTGTAATGTAGCGTTTTAATTCACTATCAAACAGGAAAATTGATATTTAGACTGTTAAAATTTATATTTATGAGTGACAAATGAAATGTGAACAGTACAATGTGTGAATCTGATATTACTACTAATAATAATAATAATTAATGATAAGGAACACTGATGCATGTTGGGGTTTTCTTGGTGGCACATGTTGATCCAATGGATAAGTTTGTCCTTTAATTGATCACCAATTACCTATATTACAGTTTGGTTAGTCATGCCTTTAGTCGGGGCTTTTTCAGCCACACCTTTTTTAATGTTGAGATAATAAAACTCCCTCACTTTGACTGAATTTTGTGTTTCTGTATTTCTGTGCAGCTTATGAAACTTTATCAGATGAGGCAAGAAGAAGCGAGTATGATCAGTTCGGGGACACTGACGCGTACTTCGATGGGGAGACGCAAGGCAAACACAGACAAGGTGCCCACCAACCTTTCACCTTCAGTTTTGATGACATATTTAAGGACTTTGACATCTACAGCCAGAACAGACACGCCCGTCACCGAAGACACTTTGATGAACACTCCAGGTCCCACAGCAGACATAAAAGACACTTTCAAGGTGGTTTTGGAGCCGGGGTTATCAATGATATGTTTGATGATATTGAGAGAATGTTTACTTTTGACAGACACACCAAACAGACTGAAAACCGGTTTCATGGTACGTCGAAACAGCACTGTAGAACAGTAACGCAACGCAGAGGTAATATGGTAACTACTTACACAGACTGCACTGCATCATAGGGTGCAATGTAAATGGCTTAAAAAAATGCCTTAAAAGCATACAACATATTTGTATTTTTCAAGTTGAAGAAAGCCAGTTGGTTCAAAATACTGTGAAGCGTGAACATTTGTGTTAAGCACTGACATTCAGGAATGACAGGCACTGAATAAACAGGCAATTTAGCTTAGTTTTAAAATGAAATAAGCTATCTTTTTCCAACATATTTCCAGCATATTTTCACTTGTGAGTGATTGTTGTAGTTTTTTGCTTAGTGGTGAAGTAAGCAGTTTTGTCAGTATTTTTTCCAAGCACCTTCTTTTGATAATGAAGTTTAAAAACATTATCTTGTTACAATTGTGGAAAAATAAATAACATAAAATTTAAGAAAAAAAATATATGTTGCTCAATATTGCACAGAAATGTATGTGTTACGAGTTCGCCTACCACTATTTTGTACAGGTTCTTTGTAAAGGGTTTGTTATTTTAACTCCACAATCACATATACTGGCAGAAACAGTGGCAGCCAGCAGTGTTTTGCTTGCAGCTGTCAAATGAGCAGAAACAAAAAACCTGTAAACCTCCACATGTTGGTTTGTCTAACTTGTGTTTTGGAGTTTTTACTTGAAATAATAAAATATTCTTGTACTCTACAATGCTGGACCTTTTATGAACACTATGATCATGAAATTACAGCCAGTTCAAGAAAGAAATTGGTTGATAGCTGGAAAAGCCAAAAATACAAGTAAGAGAGGATTGTTTGGGACTTGGATTTAAGTGGAAATTGCTTCATCTAGCCTCAAGATAATTTGTCAGATACAAATGATGTTGATTCAAATAAAATATGTTTCACAAAGGTTTTGCAGGCCTAGCAGTGGTTCTCTGATTCACTGAGACCCACAATGTTTCTGACATGTATTACACAACATACCACAACAATGTATTGCCTCCAATATTCATTAATCATTAATAACTAAAGTTTATATTTAAAGAAGTCAGCACAATAGTATCAGCAAACGCTAGTATGCTGAACTTAACATACTCATTTTTTTTTTATTTGAGTTGTCATAAATTAAAACGCTTCCTTATTGCTTAAAAATAAATTGTCAATGTTGCATCAGTCTGGTTGTGTTATTTCCATTAAAAACGTGTTGTTGTGTTAGGGTATGTGTAAAGTAAATTGTGGAAGGACTGTTAAAACTGAACTGCCTCGGAAGCATATAGGCTTTTAATGCCTCTTGTGTACTACAAGCATCAGTGCTGGTTGAGTTTAACACTGTTAATATTCCTCATTAGTTCGCTCCTGTATGAAGTGCACTTGACACTCTGCTATAATGTAGTAAAATAAGCAATAGCCAGGGCATAATAAAATGTCCAGACAAAACTTTGAATTAGAATAAAATTTTTGTCTGTGTTCCTATAAATATTTTGACGCTCACCGTGGTTACTGTTGCGTTGCGGGAAAATAATTATTATTGTGGGAGTACGGCTCACGATGTAGCCTCTAGGAAATGTAGTTCGGCAACAATCGAATCTGGAGAAAGAGGCGTAGCTGCGTTTGACTGTCGTGAACGTCAAGTCCCATAATGCAACTGTGACTAACTACGTGCGTAGATGTCCGATCCGAAGACAAACCAGTAGCTTTTAGCTGCGGGACATTGAATGACTTCGTACCCGTGTGCGTTAAGAAAGTTCTCTGTTTGACAGGTTTAGAATCGGCGCTAATGGAGGCACTTATACCTGTCATAAACAAGCTGCAAGACGTATTTACAACTGTCGGCGCAGACACAATCCAACTGCCGCAGATAGTTGTTGTGGGAACACAGGTGAGAGACGTCACTTTGCTTGAAAGCTAACTTTTAGTTAGCCTGCAGCAACTTATTGTTTTGACTCTTTGTTTTCACCGCAGTTTTTCTTTCACTTTCACGCAGACACAGTACTATTAACTGTCCATAAAAGCATAACGTGGATTTTTAATTGTTTTAGTTTACTGCCATAGTAAACTAAGCAGGGTTACGGTTGACAGTTTACAGTAGTGTTTATCCACATGTTCTAGCCTTGTGGTTAGTCTCCAGAAAACAAAATCAAGTGCTGTTTTTCTTAATCTAGTTACATAAACAATTTGACCAGCCGTCTGTCGTTTTTATGGAAAACACAATTTGTACTTACGACTTTATGAATAACCTAGACTAAATTTAAGTTTGCCAATTTCTGAAGAACACCTATCTACAACTAGTGCATCCCATCAGTATTTTATCTGGCAATTCTTTAGAGATTTAATATACTATTAGTTATATTTATCGCATCTTTGTTAATATTACAGCGGTGAACAATTAATTAAAAACGTCTTTCACCCTACTGTACCCAAGTGCAATTTAGCAGCACCACAAAAACTATTACTGACATGAAGTCAACATCTATAATACAGTTTCTCACTACCTTGTGGAGTAGTGAGACATTGAAGCCTAAGTGGTTTAAAGTGGGAGGTTTTGCCTAAGGCTAATGGGATGTGACTGTCTCAGACGTATTGGCAGGGATGTGAGGGTGTTAGAGTAAAACCAGGCAAGCCAAAGGATGTTTTTGACCCATTAAGACCGGATGCAACGTGCTTGTGTCTGTTCTTTTAATCTTTGTCCTTGTCAATGCTCTGCTTCAGTTAAGAGCAGCTCAGAGATTACACTGAAGGTTTTAATAATTGTTTTTTGTGTGTGTGTCTTGTCCATCATTAGACCGACTTATAGCAGTCAGATCAACTTTAGGTTTACTGCTACAGCTGCTGCTCCTACTGTGGAAGATTACCTGGCCGTTTATGTGCATTTTGCTAGCTATGTGAAGTATTTCACTTTACACACAGTTTCGTTAGAGATGACTCAACTACAAACTGAATCAAGCCTACAGCGCTATGCAAGTGTCTCCTTAAATATTGAAGAATCTGGGCAAGTGGAGAATAAAAGAAATCGTCACAGGCCTAAAAACCTACCTGTAGCAGATGCACAGTATCTGAAAGTCATGTCCTTAAGAAATAGGGTAAAAGTCCAGCAGTGACCTGAGAGATGCATCTGGCTCTTCAGTTGATACATCTAGTGTTCACCAATCAGAAATGGTGGCTGTCAAGAAGCATTTCTTAAGGAACTGAAAAAGGTAGAAAGGCTGAGCTATGCCAACATTACACAAAAACTGAACTGAAAATCAGCAGGTCTTCAATTTCAAATCATTCAAATCCTACTCCTGAAGACTACTTAAAGAAATTGCAAGAAAGTTTGCCTTAGAGAGTTCAGGCTGTGAAGAAGAATAAAGGTGGTCATATGAAAGTTTGACTTTAAAGCTCATTAGAATTTTACAAATTCTGTTTCTGCCTTATGTACTGTGTTTCCATATATTTTTGCAGGTTTAAATAATCGTTGCATTTATTTCCCTCTTTCCATGTATGAGGGGTGGCTTGAGACTTTCACACAGTCCTGTATCAATGGAAACACCATCCCTTATACTGGTGATAATGCATTATAGCGCTTCCCTCCTGTGTAGACAAAAATAGTGCACAGGTTAAAAAACTTGAATGTTTGTCAGAACTCCAAACTTTAGTTCCTAAATTAATACTAGTTCCTCTACTAATGCCTGAAAACATTTGTTCAGCGAAAATGGGCTTTAAAAAATAGTGTAATGCTAACCTCTCATGGGGCTTCCTGTGTGAGAGTATTGGTTCATGTACAGCAAATAGAATCAGACCAAAGTGATGCTTTTTGCTGTTTCTGACCATGTAATTAAAAATGATGTTCGATTAAATGAAGCCCTGATTAACCACACCGGTAAAATACATTTATTATGGTCGGGAGGTTTTTCTTTTGTGTGGGGCACCAAAATCTCGTCTGTGAATGCAAAACTCTGTGTCAGTTAAGAGGTTTTTTTTCTGTATGCTGAAAACAACTTTTTCTGGCCAATGAATGAGTCATTCATACTTGAGCCTTTTATATGAGGTGATTTTGTTCTCCACCCAAAAGGAGGGAGTGTGTAATTGGGTTTGTTTGACTGTTTGTTACCAGTCTGGTGTCCAGTTTTCTAAGTACTGTGTTTAAATTTTGCATGGTGGTAGATACCAATAAAAGCTCGAGCTGATTTAATTTTGGTGAAAATCGGGTCAAGATTACGCCCTTTGGGGGGAGTTTTGTTGTTTATGATCTTGTTGTTGTTACTTTCTACAGAGCAGCGGGAAGAGTTCGGTTTTGGAGAGCCTGGTTGGCAGGGATATTCTGCCACGAGGGACTGGTGTTGTCACACGCCGGCCTCTCGTCCTCCAGCTAGTGCACATCGACCAAGAAGACCGCAGAAAACCCACAGAAGAGAATGGTAACATAACTGTCCCCTCTTCTAATTTTTATGTCGAAAATGAACATTTATATTTTTCTAAATAGTTAGTTTTAAAGTCAACTTTTTACACATTTTCAGCCTTTGGTGTTTTCTAACGCATTTTTCAGACTGGCATTTGTTTAGTAGTTGGATTAGTCCACTATGCTTCCAATTTTCTGACAAAATTTACAGCTTTAATAAAATGTAAAATAAAGGGAGCTCTTTAAACAGATTCTTAATTGCTTTTTATTGTTAGAGCAGTTAGAGTGACTTCGTATTGATGGTGTTATTATCTCTGATTGAGAACAGATGCCACCCGCTTCTCAGTAAAAAACAAAAACAAGGAACTGAAATGTGCCAAGATCCTGCGTGTAGTTTGTCCTGCCCTCTGGGAATGACTGCAGAGTTACTCTGCATTACTGCAGAGTCTCATGCAGGGGCTGCAGATTGCCGAGTTAACTCTTTTCTCTCCTGTCGTCTCTCTTTAACTGCAGAATCCAAGAAAAACGGACGCCTTTACAAAGGTCTCCTTTTCCCATGTTCTGTATCCCACTGTGTTTGTATCTTATGTAATCAGCCCCCCCACCGAATCCAACGCTCCCCACCACCCATCTCTTTTCTGTATTTGTCCCCATCTTGCTTTGTATTTGTATAGCTTTTCCAAAACTGCAAAACCATGTGGCTTCATCTCATGCCCTTCCGCCCAAATAGGCTGGTGTCTGTCATTTGAAGTTTGTTAGAGAGAGTTGGCATATTCTGGTCAAAAAATATACAATTGTGTTGAAAATAATTATAAGGGCCTCATAGAGCAGCTTCCTTCAGATGAACAACAGACCCCAACCTGTTGATTATTGCATCAAAAATCAGCTTACTTTGATTTGTTTTGTTTTTTTAAATAGCCTTTCTAGGTTTCTGCTTTCCAGAATGCACTTTATTTTTGCTTTAGGTTATTTACTTCCTTTACTGTTATGTGAGAACAGCTCTTCAGCTGTGGCGCCTTCTCCTCTGAAGAGTTTATCTTTCACATCCTTGCCGGCAGAAAACACATTTAAATCAGGGATGTAATAATAGTAACGTTTGTCTCAAGGCCACATCTATCACGTAATCTGTATCTAAAACATCTGTCCTCGACTTTGTATTTCTGCAGGCATCGATGGAGAAGAATGGGGCAAATTCCTACACACCAAAAACAAGGTAGACTTTTCAGCCTATTCTCCACAAGGTTAACACTCTCATGCCCATGCTGTACTGTGTATTAGAAACATCTGAATATTTCAAATACAAAGGTGAAAAAAGACACATCTTTGTTCTTTGCCCCATATTTACTTTGACACATATGCATTGAACAGGACGACATTTTCTGGTTTTGCGGCATGCCTCAAATGTAAAACATGTTACAGGATCAGGCACACACACCCTTTCAGCTGCTAAAAATATCTTTTTGGCCACAGGGCTAATGTCCTCCAAAGCTACATTGTGTCTTTTTCTGAGTTTCATTTACTGTAGTTCTTCATGTTTGAACAAATAAGCTCTTATGAGGTGCTGAGAGCCTCGTGATATCAATTGGATTTTCTCAGGATTTCTTTGTAAGTGTTCCCTGTCATGTACTTTCTGCTCCTCCCAGCTGTCCTTGTCTTTTCAGTGTCAACAAATGCTTTTTAAAATTAATGTTGCTCATTCTTACCCCCTTAATATTCATGGTTAAATCATCTTTTCAGATCTACGCAGATTTTGAGGAAATCAGACACGAAATCGAGACAGAAACGGAACGAATTTCTGGCAGTAACAAAGTGAGTGTCAAACATGAATGGAGAAAATGGATGAGCTTTAAATGTCCACACCAACCTGAAAGGTGCTTTATTATGTTTGCAGGGAATTAGCGATGAACCCATTCACCTAAAAATCTTCTCTCCACAAGTTGTGAATCTCACATTAGTGGATCTTCCTGGCATCACCAAGGTAAGACAAGTTTGCTAAGCTATTTGTACGTTTTATAACAGGAACTAGGAAGCATATTGATCCATATTGTACATTAGCTGATTTAATGATTTTTTCTTTCTCCTTGCTCATGTATCTCTGTCCAGGTCACATTCATTGATTATTCAGATGAAAGCTAGTTACATGTAGCTTGAAAGGACTGATAAGTGTTAAATAAATGTGCTTACATGAGTAGTTATGTGGTTGTAGGCTTTAATACCCCACTGCTATTTATTAATCAGCTGTGGTCATCTGCCATGGATAAAGTCTACTTGTATTTGTTAAAACAGGTACCAGTGGGCGATCAGCCAAAAGACATAGAGATCCAGATCAGAGAGCTGATTTTAAAGTATATCTCCAACCCCAATTCAATCATCTTGGCTGTGACTGCTGCCAACACAGATATGGCGACATCAGAGGCTCTTAAGGTGGCCCGTGAGGTTGACCCTGATGGTAAATGGCATCCCTGTTTTGCTTTGGTTTCCTCTTCTCTCCTGGTTGTTTTTAGTTAAATCAGCACAAGCATTTATTTTCATTTCTCCCTCACACAGCAGTGGTTTTTTTAACATTGGGTTTGTGCGTTCTGTGTTTAGGTAGGAGGACGCTAGCAGTGATAACCAAGCTTGACCTGATGGATGCTGGTACGGACGCCATGGATGTCCTGATGGGCAGAGTCATCCCTGTTAAACTGGGCATTATTGGAGTAGTAAACAGGTATCGGTGCAGTGAGTGGTCACACAAGGCAAAACTGCGCCTTTTAAGTTCAACTCAGCCTCATAGTTATTTTTGTTTGTGCACTTGATCAGGAGCCAGTTGGATATCAATCAGAAGAAGCTGGTGGCAGATTCTATTCGAGATGAACATGCATTCTTACAAAAGAAGTACCCCTCCCTCGCAAACAGAAATGGAACCAAATATCTGGCTAGAACATTGAACAGGTATGAAAGTGATACATTATGTATGTATTTAAATTTGAAATATTGACCTTTTTTTTTAGCCTAATTGTTTGAGTTTTAGTCCCTTCCTGACAAGATGAAACAGCACTGGCTACACTAGTCCGTAACAAGCCTGCCGACTTCCTTTCTTATTACCACAGGTTACTGATGCACCACATCAGAGACTGTCTCCCTGAGCTGAAGACGAGGATCAATGTGCTGGCAGCGCAGTATCAGTCTTTACTCAACAGTTACGGTGAACCTGTCGAGGATAAGAGTGCCACGTTGCTGCAGATTATCACCAAGTTTGCTGCAGAGTACTGCAACACAATAGAGGGCACGGCCAAGTACATCGAGACAGCTGAACTGTGAGTTACACAACTCTAAACTGCATTTACTTTGTTATGCCACCAAGGGGCGCTAGCATCATACTTTCCTTAATGAAAGCCCATTCTGCATCTGAGTGTGCTTTAATGTGGTCCTTTCTCCTCCTCAGGTGTGGTGGAGCACGGATTTGTTATATATTCCACGAGACGTTCGGTCGCACGTTGGAGTCAGTCGATCCTCTGGGTGGTCTGACAACCATTGACGTGCTCACTGCAATCAGAAATGCAACGGTTGGTTTCTGTGACATCCGTTGATTTGATAGTCTTAAAAGGCACTTTTTTCAAAGCTTACACTTTAATTGCCTTTGTCAGGGCCCGAGGCCGGCTCTGTTTGTGCCCGAGGTTTCGTTTGAGTTGCTCGTGAAGCGGCAGGTCAAGCGTCTGGAAGAGCCCAGTCTGCGCTGCGTGGAGCTGGTCCACGAGGAGATGCAGAGGATCATCCAGCACTGCAGCAACTACAGCACACAGGTCAGACACGCCCTCACCAGCGACTAAAGCACAGAGGTGTGCTGTAATTGCCGAAGGTTGTAACATTAGGCTTTCATTTTGATTGATTGTTCATCATCTCTGCAGGAGTTACTGAGGTTTCCAAAGCTTCATGATGCTATAGTAGAGGTGGTCACATCCCTTCTCAGAAAAAGGCTCCCAGTCACAAATGAAATGGTCAGGAACTCCTCACACTTGTGGTATTTATAAAGGAAGTTAACAAACAGCCCCTAATCTGAAAAACCTATTTTCTGAATCGATTTTCAGGTACATAACTTGGTTGCCATTGAGCTGGCGTATATCAACACCAAACACCCCGACTTTGCTGATGCCAGTGGCCTTATGAACAACAACATCGAAGTAAGAGATTGGCCACTACTTTCATTTACATTTATTTAATGCAGTGTTTGTGTAATCCTCTTTTGTCACCTCACACTGATTGTTTTTAATTATGATTTTTCTTTTCCAGAAAAGGGAGAATTTTCTCTTCTTCTGCTTGTGATATTTTTCAAAATTTTGTTTTTGTAGGAGCAGAGACGGAATAGACTGAGAGATCTGCCCTCTGCCGTTCCCAGAGATAAGGTACAGTTTGTCTGTCTGAGAGTAACTGCTTTGTGGTAACGCACTTTAACGTCTTCTTTCCTGCATATGTAGATTTATTTAGTCAGGGCAAAACCAGCTGTTCACGTATACATGCATATATAAAGTTATAAGAATATAATAAAATATACAAATAAAAAAATTATGTGCTTTCAGTCTGCTTAACCTGAAGCTGCCCAACTTGTATGTCGGGCATTTCTTCTATCTTACTGTATGTAAGGCTCATGCACACCTTCCGCTTATAGCTCCTGTCCATGCTCCTCTCCTTTCTTCCTCATGTCTTTCTTTAGTCCCTTAGAGGTCCTGGGGGGCAGTCTCTCTCCCCCACCGAAACTTCTGCCCATGAGGGCGAGGTCACTAAGGTGTGTCTTGTTCATTTCCCCTGCCTGTGTCTACATCTGCCCACCCCCAGACTTTCTTTGATTCCTTTAAAATCAGCCAAACTGTGTTTCTTTGGCTCTTACACTTTGATTTGCATCTAACCCTATTTTCTGCATACTGGTTGCACGAATAGAAAAAGCACAATTCCCAGCTCAACTGAAATGACATGAGGTTTTTGTTTGTTTTGGGGTTTCTTTTAATGGGGAATTGAAGAAAACCTTACTAGCACTGGTAGACTATATGATATGGACACTCTTTGTAATTTTATTATATATTCACTCCAAAGAAAGATATTCAAGATCTCGTTTAGGTAAATCTGTTACATTTTGTGCCAAGAGCCATTACACTCAGGATTTATATCAAATTTTATATAGTTAAATAACTTTAAAAAGCCTTTGTGTCATGATTGCTTCACCCAGTCACACACTGCCTGTCATTTTATCCACACATTGCCTTTGCTTGCTCAGTTCACAGTCAGGACAATGAGCACCAATCTGGATGAACGTCTTTGTACTGAAGTCAAAGAAGACCTATGGCATGCTGATATTTGAAGCATGTCAAAAATTATCAGGAAATTCCTTCTGGATGTGCTCTGTTTTTTTGGGGTTTTTTTAATGTTGGATCAGCTGATGATTTTACTTGTTTTCATTACCTCTTATATCTCTCCCCTCTGTAGGGAGCAGCCAGTGTTTCTCAGAGCTCTTCTGTCAGTGACCAGACAGACAGTGGCACGGGCAACTGGAGGAGCATGGTGAGAAAGGGCGAGGAGATTCCAGCTGGTGACAGGGCCATGCCCCAGCCTCTTATCACTGCAAGTCCCCAGAAGGGCTATGCTGTCAACCTATTAGATGTGGTGAGAACTCTGCATTTGTATAAGCAGGTTTAAAAATTGTTTTTGCTCGATGGCAATATCTGGTATTGGTAAAATGTTCTGTAGATGTATTGTAAGTGCACTAATCTGCCGAATATTATAGCTATTAGAGTTTCTCTTATTTCATTGTCAGCCTGTTCCAGTATCAAGAAAGTTGTCTGCTCGGGAGCAGAGAGACTGTGAGGTCATCGAGAGACTCATCAAGTCTTATTTCCTCATTGTTCGGAAAAACATCCAAGACAGGTAAGGATTCACGGTTTTTCATCTGCAACAGAGTAAACGTTAACATCGTTAATCCTTACTATACGTTTTACTGCGTTTGGCCTCAGTGTACCAAAGGCAGTGATGCACTTCCTGGTGAACCATGTGAAGGACTGCCTGCAGAGTGAGCTGGTGGGTCAGTTATATAAGACGACGCTGCTGAGCGACCTGCTGACAGAGTCCGAGGACATGGCTCAAAGACGCAACGAGGCTGCTGACATGCTCAAGGTGACAGATTCATCACAAAAAAGCATGAGCCAATGTCATACAAAGTTATATTTTATCCAGTAAATATAATATTGTGGCGTGTTGAGGGAGCAGCTAGTTCTCTCTCATCATGCCCTAGGACGTGCTGCTGTTTAGATGTTCTTGTTTTATTGTTTATGGTTACGTTACTTTTAACTATTATCTTAAATGTTGTGTTTGTACTGCGGCACAAAGTCACTGACAGTTATTGTTTTATAGAAAGAATGCAGTACCATAAATGAGTTCTGTTACGCTGTTATTGACCCTCGAAGCACAGTGTAGCACCAGCAAGTGTTTAATAAAGAGCTCCCCCTACCAGCTTGGGGTCAAACAGCAAGCTCAATCTGTGTGTGGAGCTTCCTTGTGAAGATTCCTCTGCATGCCACAATATATAACTTCTTTTTCCAAAGACAAAGAAATGTCTTATGAATTAGGAAAAGCCTTAACTATTTAGCATGCTTTGTTATTGCAACATTAGAGATATACATGGTTCCTCAGTGCTCTGAAGTTATTGTTGCACTGACTGTTCTGTGAACACAGCATCTTTCTGTACAAACGTTCATTTAGACATTTGTTTGAAGCCAATATGAGGCACGAGAAATGAATCAATCTAGCAGATGATTTTTCAAATCTTTTTAGCATAAAAATCCCTCTACTTACCGCAGTAAATCAGACTTATGATTCTCTTGTGTGACTTGATGGAGAAACTGTACATCCCAGTATGATCCTAATGCGGTGTGATGACGACATTAAAATCACTTATTAGATTACATCTGTCTTCTCATCTCTGTGTCTAGGCGTTGCAGAAAGCCAGCCAGGTGATAGCAGAGATCCGAGAAACCCACCTGTGGTGAGGATGAGCAATCTTCAGCAAGCTCTCTTCATCCTTGTGGGGACCCTCACTGTCTACATGTGGACCATCCCACCTCCCTGTCGAGTCATGCAGCAGCTCAGGCTGTAGAGACAACTCAGAAATGCACTGGTGTGGATATGTGTATATGGAAACATAGTTTTAATGTACAGCAAGGAAGTAATAATCAGGGGAAGTACATTTTAGTCACTCGCCATCGGCATCACGTATACTTCTGTCCTAGATTATTATATTTTTCTTAATGTAAGTAAAACAGTACATAAATAATATTATACATCACGACTATGTGGGGCCTTGCTGAGGAATATGCGCTCCAACTGTAGATTTTGATTAAAGCTACAAATGAAAACTCATGTGACACCATGTATATGCCCTCTTTATTGGATTTTGAAGTAATTTGTGCACTGCAATGCACTTTTTTGTAATTGTTAACATACCCCATACCAATACATCATACATTCTTTATTTCTTTATTTCTTTATTTTTAAAGCGACACAAGAACAATGCAAAAGTAGACACATTTGCTGTTCAGTGTGAATTTTTGTGTAAGAGTTATTATAGTGGACAGATTTACACAGAAACACTTGTTTTGTACTTTTATGACCATAGCAACTGGCACATAATCTTACACAATAGAAGAATGAACACATGGACAATAGACACCAGGGTCCATCGCTGGTGTCACCGTTTGCCTCGACTCTATCTTGTAGCAGCTTTATCTCACACGGCCCATCTTGCCTTTTCCACGACCTTTGGCACTGAAAAGGTTCAGGATACCAATGAGTTTAATAAACACGGATATCATATAGTTTCATTATTTAGCAATTCGACATGCCATTACCCAGGGTACAGATGTTAAAGACGGAAATACAAAGACTGTGGGAGTCATGAGATGATGTGGAAATGATTAAGTTGGTAATATTTTAAGTGCAGAAATTTTAACCGCAAACATTTTAAGGCTTTTGACTTCATGGGGGTATGCTGTCAAGCTGCATGCTGTTTGTTTAACAGAAAATAAATTCAAACTATAAGAACAGGGTACGTGATGTGTTTTTCTAATAATGTCACAGATGATAGATTTCTCGAGTATCCGCTGAGCTGAGTGACACTGTTTTTTAGAACATAATACACTCATAACTGCAGTCTCTGATCTATTTTCTGATTGTGAGTGGTGAAATCGTATCTTAGAAAAGTGTGAAATGGAGAAACAGAAGCTTTATGTAAGACAAGAAACCTTAGAAGGTCATCAAAATAGGAAGAGATCCAGCGGGGGAGCTGTGTGCTTACCTCTGGTGATCCTGAACACGAGAGAGAAGCAGGTTGATCTGCAACGGCACATAAACATCTCCTCAGTGTTTCGAAATAAAAAGGCTGATAATCTTACACAACGGGGTCTAACGTGAATCGTGAAACTAGCAAACCACACCAACAAATATCAATAAATGATAAATGCAGGATGGTTGCCTTCAGGTGTTTCTCGTGCTGTTGGTCATAAATACACTCAATGTTCTATTTTGTCTTTTTAAATAATGACAGTAATATCACAGAACGGATTAATAGTTCATGACTTACATCATATTTCTGTCTTTTGAGTTTCTCACTGAGGTCGAACTTCTCAGCCTCCAGCCCCATGAGTGACTCCCACAGTTCTTTGGCTTTATCCCTAAAGTAGAAATTCATACCAAAAACGTATCAAATTACCTGTTACTATTAAATATGTTGCAGTATTAACACGAGTTATCTGTGGCCAATATTTAGAAACATAATGAACTATGAATACTGAAGAAGCCCTGCATAGTGTTGTCATACTTGAGTTTATCCTCGCTCAGGTGATCAACGTTAAGAGGTTTCTTGCGTTCAGCCAGTATCTTCTTCTTCTTCTCTCTCTCAGTTGTTTTCTTGCCTCTTCTGGTGTCACTCTGCTTAACATAACATAAAGAATGAGCATGAATCCGCCTCAACATTCTCTATGTATTATTATTATTAACTTATTTTAAACTGCATTCCAGCATATGTACAAGTAATCCTGAAGTCTTCAGAGAGCTGGGAATGCTCAGTTTCAGACATTGTTTTCCACCTTCAAGGCTTCTGTTTATCAAAGACAGTCAATCAAAAGAGAGAGCTTAATGGGAGAAGAGTCGTAAAGGTGGAGTAGATAAAACCAGCTTTGTGGGTAAACTGAAGGGCCCAGTACTTTTAACTGTAAATCATGCAAAGCTACTGCAGTTGGAGCATCACAGTGGACTATCCACTCAGGTGATCCATTCTTATTAAGTCAAGCAAGCAGATGTCTGCTTCATACTATTCTAATTCTGTCATTCACAGGAAACTGAGAGACCTTCTGTCCACCACCGTACTGCTGAGACATGTTTGAGAGGGCCTTCTTCTTCTTTGCGTCCTCATCCATCTTCTTCCTTTGTTCCTCCTGCTCCTTACGCTCCTTCTCCTCCTGCATGCAGCACAAGCCAATCATTCAATACTGTTTTAGCTGCAGGTGGAATAATAAACAGTAGACTGAAGGTGTAAATCCACGTCCGTACCGCAAGTCTGTTCTGTCTCTCCTTTTCTCTCTCCGCCCTGATCCTTTGCTGCTCGGCTCTCTCAGAACGACGCTTCTCCTAAAAAAAAAACAACAACCAAGAAACACAGAAAGGTGCGCGCAGTCACGGTGAACTTCAGCCGGGTACAGACACTGTGACTGCTCTGCAACCAACTCACAATTCTATTAACGAGGGCAATGAGTTCTTCTTCCTCTTTCTTCCTCTGGACGAAGTGAGCCTCGATCAGAGACTGCAGCTCAGATAGATCCTTCTCCTGACGTTTCCTGTAGATATCCTGCGTCAAAAAACCAAACATTGTGAGAAATGTGTCTGGTCAGTTTCAAACAGAGAGACGTTTGATGAGGCTGACTCACATCAAAGTCCACCTTTTCACCATCAGGGATCTTCGGGGCCGAAATGTTTGCCATAAACCTGCAGGTGTGAACAGTTTATCGTTGAATGATTCGTCCTAAGTGAGGTTTAAACTGCTCAACGTAAGGGAAGTTAAGAAACGTACTTAGGCTTGGTCTTTGAGTCATCTTGTGCTGATGACCAGGAGCACACATGATTAGTAAACTGGGAATGAAATCAGGTGTATAAAATAATGGGTAGATGCAATTTTCTTACCATCTTCTTCCCTGGAAGAGAGCAGAAACATTGCCACAATTAAAAATGTCCTCTTAATTACACAATAAAGAAATGTTGCACTCATAATAACATGAAGATAAAAAAAAAGTGTAAAATTGATCACATACTGAACTTCTCCCTCCCCGACTTCTTCTGTGTCAGACATTTTGTTAAGGGTGAGCTCTGCAAAATGGACACCCTATTAGCCTATATTTACACCAACAACTATTTCTGATCATTAAGCAGCATAGTAGATCCTGAGATAGCAACCGTTCACACAGTTTACAATGAGGGTCAGCGTTGGATCAGATATCTTAGCCTGGCCAGAGTTGAAGATGTCTATTCTGATCTTTAACTGGACAACAGCAGCAACACAATAACTGGAAAACACTCCTACTCAATATGCCCAAATAAAACACTTCTGTATGCGTATTTAAAGGGTACACACATAGTTATTCAACTAAATGTGATCAAAGTCCCGTCACAAGTTTGAAATTACTGACGACAACTATAAAAAAGTGTTTTATTACTGTGCAGATGGTGATGCTGTAGGCAGAACGGCTTCAAATGTAAAGTTAATATCTCCAGTTAAGTTTGAAGTAAAACATTGAAATTCTACTCATGTATAGAATGTGTTATTGTCTACTTATTATTATCTGCTTATTATTCTGCCAATAACAAGTTTTTATTATAACAAAATGTAAAAGTAAGCAAAAATGATGAATTTATCAATAGTGTCTGTGTGCGTACATGTTCAAGCTGCTGTACAGTCACAGAAGATGTTATAAAGATGCCATGGAGACAGTTTTGTTGGATTTGTAATGTGGCTTAAAAAGATTTCAGCATGCTGCGAAAACAATCCAAGACCAGATTTCATTCAGTGATAAACTAACTGATCGATTAATTCAGTTCAATATTTAAGGTTAAACAAGATTTATTTGGTAACATTTCCCCACACAGAGCATGCGTGCTCTTACCTGTGACCCAGACAGAGGAGCTCAGAGGCGAGCGACAGACTCCAGCTCCTTGAACTTAACAAACAGGTTAAGCATCAAGGATACATAGTCCAGCCCTTCTGACTCATGTGATTGCAACACCCTATGGCTGATCAGTCTATTGTTAGAGAGCTGGACATTACAGACACACAAGGAACTAGATACTAACACACACACACACACACACACACACACACACACACACACACACACACACGCACACTCATACGTGCTACATGTTTTGCAGGTAGATTCCTGCCTCGTCACCCTCCACTGTGTTTTCAACACACCATAATTTCACAAATGGTTACAAATGACAGCATTTCCTTTCATTGGTTAAAATTAAAACAGAACCAGAACTTTTTTTCCTCCATTTTTTTTTATTGCTGAAGCCATACATACAATATTTGTAAACAACTCAAACAAGGCAATCAATAAAAAAAATGCTGAAAGTGTCACAATACATTTAGGCAGAATTGAACGTATGTGCACTGCTGACAGGAACACCGGGTTACATTCACTGTTAATTACAGGCTTTTTTTAAACAGAGTGCATGTTGCGATTGTCTTGCAGGTCTCTAATGTTTCTGCAACGCATAAAAAGCTGAAGTAGGTGGCATGTAAATGCACAATAGATAAGCAAAGCAGCCAGACTATAACCTGTTTGTTGAATACAATAAGATTTGTTCACTGAACTGTTGTTACAGTAGATACTTGCATACACAAGTATTCATAGACTTTTTTTTGCAAAAAAAAAAAGCCATAACAGTAACAAAGCTGGATGTTATTCGTGAAAATGTTTCACGCAGCTGTAGCAGGCCTAGGCAGGATGTGCCAGTGTTAACTTATGATTTGAGGTGTGGATCCTTGTGTGTTTTTTAATTAGAATTTTAATAAGAGCGCCTTTATCAAGGCTTATCGGCTTTCTAACTATTATCGTGCATCATCCATTTTGGAGTTGTAAATTTGACTAAATGACGAGTGAATGAACTAAGAGCCAGTTGCCTTTTGAAGTTAATCACGAGGTGGGTGATCAGATAGTCTGTGTTTTCTCTGTGTGCTCTTCATACTACATCCGAAGAGTCACACTGATGCCATGCTCACAATAGGAATAGAAACTACAATGTTCAGCAGGTAAAAATATTTATCACGTCTTCCATTTTTAGTGAGTACGTTTGCATGACAAGGTATTTAAAAATGACTAACAGAACATGAATGTCTAATAGATTAATCCATCCAGTAGACCAGGGGTTGGGGAATCCAGGCCTCAAGGGCCGGTATCTTGAAGGTTTTAGAAAACCTGTAGGACACTGGCCCTTGAGGCCTGGCGTTCCCCACCCCTACATAGATGTTGATATATTTCTCTCTTGAAGAGCTGAATCACTCGGATAGTTTTGCCATCCTTTGCGAACATCAAAGTCATTCATTTAATGGTTTATTTATGAGTGTTTGTGCACAACTTATTATTGTTAAAAAAATATTAAAAACTTTTATCAAAATTGTAAACATTAGCCAAAGAGATTTCTTTATTGCTTCACAACCACAGACTTGTTAATTACGTCTAACTGATCTATATTAAGTACATGCAAAGGCCTTATTAAATACGTCAGAAACCCTTTATGATGGATGCCTTAGTAGAAACTAAAACCTACAAAACAAGTAAATTATATACAAGCTTTTCATCCAATATCCAGCTGTGGAGTACAGTATACTTTCTATGGAATCAAAACCATAACTTTCATCACAAAAAGCAGTGTGCATGTATCACTATAAAGCAAGAATACTAATTACTGGGTATAAGCTATATGACATAATGTCAAAGCCCAAATGCACCACATGAATTATAGACCTGCTAATGAGAGCTGAAAGCAAAATAACTTGCAGAATGCTTGAATGAAAAATAGTGACAGCAACAGCTAATGGACAGTTTTAGTTTACTACTGAGTATTAACCATGTAAAAACAATTAGAAAGTGTAATATTCTTTTAAATTTCTTATAGTCACATATCAAGTCAAGCCATCATCTTTTCATTTTTGATGAAACTCTTGAAGCATGGCTAAGTCAAAATAGGTGGCAGTGCAAAGGTACTGATACTGTAAAGCTAGAGCTGGAAGACTTTGACACAGGAATCCCATTATGTCATTCCCTTCTCCCTCATTGTGATGCGAACCTCATGCAAAATACGGGCGTGCTGAAGGGGAACAGGTGTGAACGTAGAGCAGCAGAAGTGTGAGTTTGAACAGGTGTAACTGGGATGTCAATGGTTAGGGTCTCACTCCTGCTATAAAAGAAACAGAAAGACATTAAAGATCAGTTTCTCATTGTGTCCATTGCTGATAAAGTCACTGTTAGAGTAAGGTGAGACACCACAGATGAATATGTGAATATAAACAGAACAGATATCACCTTGATAAAATCCCACAATATTATTTACATTACATACAAAAATTTACTATTTCTTCTGCAAGTTTCTAAAATTTTATCGAAATAGACAACAATGTGCATAATAACCAATAACCAATATATAAATCTGAACAATGAATAAATTCCAAATGTTGTAAATTTTATTTTGTTGGTACAAAAATCTTCTTTGATGTTGGAAATCTACTTTTATCCCTTAATGAATAAAAAAATATTTTAAAATAGAGAAAAGTAGAAAAAATGCCATGTTTTTAAGGTATAAACTATTTTATATATATCAGCCTCTAAATGGTATTAAAACAAACTTTAGTAAAATCATTGAGATTACAAAACTAAAAAATGCTTTTCTTGTTTCCAACACCACGCTTCATGCTTACACTGTACTGAAGTAACGGTGCACGAGTCACGGTCATAATCGTTATTTTCGTATACTCTGCCTTAGTGGTGTGTTTTATAGAGCAACCTGAAGCAATTTCTACAATGCTGTGAAAAAGTATTTGCCCCTTTCAGATTTCTTCTTTTTTCTTTTATTTTCTTTTTTGCATATTGTCACATTTACATCTTTCAGATCCTCAATCGAACAATTTTTTTACACTTTTTTTGGAAAGCTGTGTTCACTTTAGCTTGCCACACTTAGGCCTGATTCTTGGCAGATCTGTTAAGTCAATCAAACAGAACCTGTCAACAACCTTCCACAAAATGAAGGAGCCTAAAAGATCTTAAAGAAAGAAAGAAACTTAAAAACAATGAGAAACAAAGTCACTGACATCTATCAGTCTGGAAATGCTTACAAAGCCATTTCTAAGGCTTTGGGACTCCAGTGAACCATGACGAAGGCCTTTATCCACAAATGGAGAAACCTTGGAGCAGTGATAAACCTTCCCAGGGGTGATCGTCCACGAAAATTACTCTGAGAATGCATCTACAAGTCATCCAGGAGGTCACAAAAGAACCCAGAACACTATCTAAAGAACAGAAGACTTTACTCGTTAGATTAAGGTCATGATTCAACAATACAGAGTTCCAAGGAGAAAACCACTGCTGACCAAAAAGAACACAAAAGCTCGCCTCACATTTGCCAAAAAACATCTTGATGACATTTGGGAAAATATTCTGTGGACTGAATAGACAAAGGTTGAACTTTTTGGAAGGTTTGAGTCCTATTACATCTGGCATAAAACTAACACAGCATTTCATAAACAGATCATACCAGCGGATCATACTTCAGGACCTTGACGAACCATAAATTCTGCTGTCTAGCAGAAATCCTGAAGGAGAATGTCAGGCCATAAGTTCATGGCCTGAAGCTCAAGCTCACTTAAGTTATGCAATAAGACAATGATAAGAAACACACCACCAAGTCCACCTCTGAATTGCCCCCCAAAATAAAAATACAAACAAAATGAAGGTTTTGAGTAGTCTGGACTTAAATCAGATTGAGATGCTTTGGCATTATCTTAAGCAGGCCGTTTCCATCCAGTGTGGCTGAACTAAAACGATTCTGCAAAGAGAAGTGAACCAAAACTGCTCCACAGCAATGTGAAAGACTCATTGCCAGGTATCACAAACACTTAATTGCAGTTCCTGCTGCCAGTGGTCACACAACCAATCATTAGTTTTAGGGAGCACTTACTGTTTCACACAGGTCCAGGTTGGTTTGGTTAACCTTTTCCCTTAATAAATGAAATTTTCATTTAAAAGCTGCATTTTGTATTTATGCTTATTGTTAAAATTTATTTGAATATCTGAAACATGAAAGTGTACCAAATATGCAAAAAACTAAGAAATGAAGGAGGACATACTTGGCCATGTTTGATATGGGCCTCAAACATTTTAACAGACAATTTAACAGACAATGCTTCCACAGATACAAGAGGGGAAAGCAGCTTAAAACTGATCAGTGCATATTTTCCTTCAAGTGTGTCAACTTTAAAACATAAAGATCATCAGCCACTAGCCTCAGCATCATTAATCAATGCTTTCACGACCATTGTTCTCTATAAATACAATATAATGCATGTTCAGTGCCGCTGTTGTTGTTGTTCAGAGTTAGGACACTTTGCTTTGTGACTGAAAGCTGTAACTTGGTCATTTGCCCTTTACTTCATTGCTCAGCCGTCTATTTCTGATGAAGAAGTTGGAAGGCTACAAGCAAGGAGTGCTATTTAGAGTTGAAGTTGACACTCGACAAACACTTTTCCACTCCTATTGTTCACACTTTGGCCCAAGCACTGATGCCTTCATGTCAGAAGAAACATGATATTTGAACACGAAGAAGCAAGGCAGCTTTATTATGCCAAAGTCAATATCTTTTTCATGATTTATGTTGTAAAGTCAAACGTTTTAACTTGTCCTATGTAGCTGTGGTAGCTCATCTTAGGTTTTTATCATTAGCGCTGAGTGAATAAGCCTGGTGATCGAGCCCGATTTGCTTCTTAAATGGCTAGTAATCCTTTTCAGCAGTCAGTTGTAATGTGACAATCAAGCAGCTGCACTCTGGTATGCCTGACAGCTCTCTGACACTCCGCACGGTTCCCCAAGTCCAGGTGGAACTTGGGGAACAGCCCACAGCAAAAACATGACAGTCATCCCAGGAGTCTGGAACTTTCTTTATACTGGGAAACAAGGTCAGGGTGAGTGTTTTTTTAAATATAGATCGCAGTGCCACAGAGCTGAGCCCGTGCCCAAAAATCTCCAGCAGCAGATTTGATTTACAGTGAGCAGCTACGCTGGTAGAAAGAGAAGTTGGTGGGTAGTAGTAGTTACGAGCTCCTGCTGGGCTATAAATCAGTCAAGGCTTATTGTACTTGTCCAGTACATGTTTTGAAGAGCAGACACACTTCATCTCAAGTTTGCTTCCCCCAGGACTGACCAACATAAAGCCCTGGTTTAACATGTACGATGTTCAGCTTTGCAGTGTTAAAAGAAGTATTCACTTTGCCTGAGTGAAAGTAGAGCTAACCCCAATGTAGAGACACTAAAAATATCTCCAGCAAAAGGACTAATTTGATATTTTAGGAAATGTGTGTTGTCATTCGCCCTTTACTTTATTCTAGGCTGTCTATTTCTGATAAAGGAAGTGGTGACCTATACCACACTTAAGTTCGTAAATACAAAGCTACAGCTATGTCTGTGAAGGAAGAAAGGAAGGAAGAAAGCTACAGCTAGCAGTTGGTTTGGTTACCAAAGGGGTTCTGGTCATTGGAGACTCCATGAACAGGAAGTCACTGGATAAAGACAAATAGTCTAGAATTTAACCCACTTGAAATCACACGCAGATTTATTTTCTTTTAAAGTTTCTAATGACCTTTTAACTTTTACCAACTCGGGAGATTCTGTTATTTTAATATTATTAGACCTCAGTGCTGCTTTTGACACAGTATCTTATCTCTTGACTGGAACAATGTGCCGGAATTAAAGGGCTTGCTTTGGAATGGTTTAAATCCTACTTATCTAATCGTACTTTCTCTGTTAGATTCAGAGACACATTGTCTCCAAAGACGGCCCTTTTTTGCGGGGTCCCCCAGGGCTCTATCCTTGGTCCAGTCCTTTTTTCAATTTATATGCTCCCGTTGGGATCTATTTTTAAAAAATATGGAATTTCGTTTCACTGTTACGCAGATGATTCTCAGATTTACCTTCCACTAAAATGAAAATCTGTGAATCCTCTGAAGGGACTGTTTGATTGTCTAGAAGATGTCAAGGCATGGATGGCTCTAAATTTTCTAAATCTAAATGAACAGAAAACTGAGGTCATTGTCTTTGGTCCTTCTGACCATTATGACCATGGCCCCTTAGAAAGTGATAAAAAACCATTTGCAAGAAATTTAGGGGTGATTTTTGACAGCAATTTAACATTTCATAAACAGATAAATAATGTAGTCATAACCAGTTTTCTTCATCTTCACCTAATTACAAAAGTTAAGCCCAGACACTTCACTCCTCCTCTATTCACCCTGCTCACTCCCCCCCACCCCCAACTGCAGTATCCAATACACACTCAACACAAGGCTCCAGCCTGTCTCTCTCAACCACCCAGGTTAGGAGGGAACTGAGGAGGATTAATGGCAAGAAGGCAGCGGGTCCAGATGGCATCAGCTCGAGGGTCGTCAGGTCCTGCGCGGACCAACTGTGTGGGGTGATGGAGCACCTCTTCAACCTGAGCCTGAGGCTGGGAAGAGTCCCACAGCTCTGGAAAACCTCCTGTGTTGTACCAGTGCCAAAAACTTCACACCCCAAGGACCTCAACAGCTACAGGCCGGTGGCTCTGACATCCCACCTGATGAAGACCCTGGAGCGGTTGGTCCTGGCTCAGCTTCGGCGCCTAATAAGCTCATCACTGGACCCACTTCAGTTTGCCTACCAGCCTGGCATTGGAGCGGATGATGCCGTCATTCACCTCCTACATCGTTCCCTCGCTCACCTGGAGACCGCTGGAAGCACTGTGAGAATCATGTTCTTTGATTTCTCCAGTGCCTTCAACACCATTCTTCCCTCGGTTCTAAAGGACAAGCTGGTGAACTCTGGAGTGGACCATCACCTCACTACCTGGATCCTGGACTACCTCACCGACCGACCACAGTATGTGAGGACTCAGGGCTGTGTGTCGGACAGGGTCGTCTGCAGTACGGGGGCCCCACAGGGAACGGTTCTGGCTCCGTTCCTCTTCACCATCTACACTGCAGACTTCTCCCACAATTCCACCCAGTGCTTCCTGCAGAAGTTCTCTGATGACTCTGCAATAGTCGGCCTCATCACTGATGGGGATGACAAGGAGTACAGAGGTCTGACCCAAGACTTTGTGGACTGGTGCCAGCTGAACTACCTCCAGATCAACGCCAGTAAAACCAAGGAACTGGTGGTAGACTTCCGCAGGCACAAGCATTCTCCACTGCAACCACTGAACATCCAAGGTATGGACATTGAGGCTGTGGACAGATACAGGTACCTTGGTGTTCATCTGAACAATAGACTGGACTGGACTCATAACTCAGACGCCCTCTACAGGAAAGGGCAGAGCAGGCTGTACCTGCTGCGGAGACTCAGGTCGTTTGGAGTGGAGGGCCCACTCCTGAAGACCTTCTATGACTCTGTGGTGGCTTCTGCTATCTTTTATGGTGTGGTCTGCTGGGGCGGCAGCATCTCTGCTGGGGACAGGAAGAGACTGAACAGGGTGATCCGAAGGGCCAGCTCTGTTCTAGGATGCCCTCTGGACCCAGTGGAGGTGGTGAGTGACAGGAGAACGGCGGCTAAGCTGTCATCCCTGATGGACAACATCTCCCACCCCATGCAGCAGACTATGACAGCACTGAGCAGCTCCTTCAGTGGGAGACTGCGGCACCCACGGTGTGGGACGGAGAGATTTCGCAGGTCTTTCCTCCCCACTGCTGTCAGACTCCATAATAAAGACTTTAACTGATCAAGCACACACATCCATACATATGCAATAATACTTAGTGCAATAATCCTTTCTGTCATCGTTGTATTTTTACTCAGTTGTATATAGTATTTGTATTTGTATTCTATTTTTATCTTATTGTATATTTATTTTATTCTACTGTATATAGTATTTTATTTTATTCTATTCTGTACAGTTGTGTACTGTATTTATTCTTATTGTATTCTAATTTTTGCCTCATAACTTTTGCACTGTCCACTCCTGCTGTGACAAAACAAATTTCCCACGTGTGGGACTAATAAAGGTTATCTTATCTTATCTTATCTTATCTTATCTTATCTTATCTTATCTTATCTTATCTTATCTTATCTTTCTCTGTTTCAGAGATTTTGAGAAAGCGATCCATGCCTTCATCTCATCTCGCCTCGACTTCTGTAATAGTCTCTAGTCTGGTGTCACCTCTTCATCAACTGGCCGACTGCAGCTAGCTCCTAACTGGCACACACAAGCGAGATCATATATCTCCTATACTTGCATCACTACACTGGCTGCCAGTCAGCTTTTGAATTGACTTTAAGATCTTAACACTTGTTTTTAAGTCGTTGCATAGACTAGCCCCTACATATCTTGCTGTCAAAGGAGCTTGCAAAGAAAGCCCCTACATATCTTGCTGATCTCCTAACCTGGTATTCTCCCCTAAGATCCTTGAGGTCTGCAGACCAAATGCTTTTGGTCTGCAGACCAAATGCTTTTGGTTATCCCTAGGTCCAGATTAAAACACAGAGGAGACCGGGCATTTGCTGTGACTGCCCCCAAACTTTGGAATACATTGCCTTTGATTATCAGATCCTCCCCAACACTGGATACTTTTAAAAGTCGTCTAAAGACCCGTTTTTATTCTCTGGCTTTTGATTCATCATGAGTTTGTTACTATTATTCTTTTTTATGATTTTATTCTTTTTTTATGATTTTATTCTCTTTTTATGATTTTATTCTCTTCTAAAATACTATTCTGTTTTTTTTTATATTTATTGCCTTGTCCATGTTATTGGACAGTACTTTGGTCAACACCTGTTGTTTTAAAACTGCTATATAAATAAGTTTGAACTTTGAACTATTGTTTTTTAAATGATCGGTTGTTTGCCCTAATTTCCCATCTCTGTAAGCTAGCTAGGTGTCACTTCATATTAACTCTACCATAAGAGAGTCTATCTGTTTAGTATTTGTTAAACCTTTTCTCTGACATTAAACAAGGAACAACTATTAAACTCTTTTAGTGGTATATTATAGTTATGCACAAGTGTTACTGTATGTTAGACTATTTATTTTTACTTGTGCAATGATAAATGTTCAGTATTGAGTAAGGGTACTTAGTTACATTTGACCACTGCATACAGTCACTTCAGAAGCTTACCATTAACGAGAAAACTTGCCTCCCACAGCCACCTGTGCAAGCAGAAGGAATAAAGGAAACAAAATAAATGAGGGAAGACAAATCATCTACTGGTATTCAGGCAAATTATCATCTAAGTATTCACAGTGCTTTCTTTTTTCCATATTTTGTTCCAGATGGATCAAATTCATTTTTCACCTCAAAGTTCTTCATACAGTGCTCCATAATGAAGGTGAAGGTGAAAAAAAAATGCTTGATACATTCTCTGACATGTATTAAAAATAAAAAAATAACATGTACATAAGGATTTACAGCCTTTGCTCAACACTTTATTGAAGCACCTTTGGCAGCAGTTACAGCTTCAAGTCTTTTTCAATATGATCTTAGAGGTTTGGGTCATAGTCCTGGTGGAAAATGAACCTTCGCCCTAGTCCAGAGTGCTTTTGTGCAGCTTATCATCAAGTACATCTCTGTAAATTGTTGCATTCATCTTTTCTCTGACCCTGACTAGTCTCCCAGTTCCTGCTGCTGAAAAACATCCAAAAGGATGATGCTGCCACCACCATGCTTCACTATAGGAATGGCACTGGCCCGGCCATGAGCACTGTCTGGTTTCCTCCAAACATTACTCTTGGCATTCAGACAAGTATATAGACAAGTGTGTGCCTTTCCAAATCATGTCAAATCAACTGAATCTACCACAGGTGAACTCCAGTTAAGTTGTAGAAAGATGTGACAGATGCTCAGGATGCATCTGAGCTCAGTTTTGAGTATTTTTATTTATTTATTATATTTTGTAATAAATTTGCAAGAATTTCAAGCAATCGTTTTTCACTTCGTCATTATAGTGTATCGTGTGTAGAACTTTGAGGTGAAACACAAATAAGACTATAACATGACAAAATGTGGAACGAGTGAATTACTGGAGCAGCCGTGTATCTTATGTTTTTACTTAAGATTCCAAATAAGTAACATCAGCTTGGAGTCACATTTTCACAAATGACCACTTTCACTCATGTATTAGGTAGACTACATCAAGAATAACAACTATTACCACATCATTGTAAATCCTTTAAAACACTAACATTGCCCCTTCAAAGAACAGTGTCTGTGTCTTTACCTTTCCAGGCGTAGAGCCCTTCTTTGCTTCCCACATGCCACGCTTATTGCCCACATCAGCTGGTTTCACATCCTGTCACAAACAAAATGCACAAAAAGATTGTTAGCCCCGGGAAGTGCCAGAAGAAATATTTAGACCAGCTACTTAAGCAAAAAATATAGAAAAGAAGAAGCTTTTATCCAAAGAAATTTCTCAGCAGAAAGCACAGAGGTACTATGAGTAAATTGTCTCAAATGTTCTCCTCAACCTACTTTAAATTAAATCAGATAACTGAAAGTGTGACCAATTTTATGGTGAGGAATGAGAAAAAGTAGCAATAACTTGGACTGTCTGTAAAACATTGGAGAGCTTTCCTTATCGGTCCTCTAACAGATTTGAAGGGCTTTATAGAACTGCTTTCATCCTGAGAAGACAGTGATTCCTTAGTAAAGGGTTTAAGTGACATGTTTAAGCAAAGGAGAACTAAAAACTAACATCACATGAAGTATGAAGTCATCAATGTCCAGGGAGTAAATGTACCAAATGATTTCCCTTCAATGGATGCAAATACAGTTCCCAAACATATTTATTAGGCTTCTGGTTATTACTGGTGATATTGGTGAAGTATATGCAAAACCTTTACCAGTTTGACGAGCAGACAAAAAGCAGCAGGAAAAGCTTGAGTGAGGATAGCTGAAGGAAAGAGCACAATTAAAGAGGACAGAAAGGCTGAAAAATACCACTAGCACAGTAAAGACACAGTAAAGATTTAATGCTAATATCCACACATGCACCAGACTGCGGTACAGCTTCAACCCATCAGGGGGAAGTGTTACTGCAAGAGTAACAGCAAGGTTACAGAACTTCTCTGGCCAAGATATTTGATACCAAAGTTATCTTGCTCATAAATCTTGCTTAAGAACAATGTCACACGTCATCTACCAACCTTACTCCCCATGAATGTGTCTCCAGACAGTTTTTACTAGCAGCTGGTGTCTGACTTTAAGAAGAGGACACAGTGCTCACTGACTACCCTAGTACACATTTATTTATGCTATATGACCATAAAGAGAACAAATTAAATCATTAAGTTTCCATCTACTTGTTGTGACATGTCATAATATGTGATAGCTATGAATAGATATGACCCTTTCCTCCTTTTCCAAAGGACACTCAAAGTATGGACTCATCAGTAGGACTAAAACATGCATTTCAGGGAGAGTTAAATGCAAACTGAGATTTCTGTTTGAAAATACTGCAGTTTTCTGGAATATAGGATTTAAATACAAAATAAATTATGTTAAAAGGAAAGGTGTTTCACGGCTCTTCTGTTGTCTGCAATAGATAAATACTTTTTTTTGCTTCTGTACAAAGATTTCTCATGGGTTCCTGGTCAAATAAATTAATTGAAGCTTTTCCCATCATGTGTACAAGAACTCAGAGAAAGCCATGACAGCATATGCTGTTCAGTAAACTCTCCATGTGGTGCTGCTAGACTTAAGACAGCAGCACCGTCCAGCCCTGGAGTGCAGACCCAAAGGCTGCAGCCAACAAAGGACAGGCATGTTGATGTGCAAATGAGCACATCAGCATGTGCAGAATATCAAGGGATTACTCTGCTGAAGACTGGCGTCTGATTTACAATAGTGTGTGGATGTGTGATCACGGCAAGGATTTATCAGGTCTTACTGCGGGCTTTGCTGCTGCTGCTGGTGCTGGCTTTGCAGCTGCTGATGGCGCTGGTGCCGGTGCTGCTGCTGCAGGTGCTGGCGCTACTGTCTTCTCGCCTTCTGCCGGCTTTCCCGTCCAACTGTTGACACGTCCGGTCACACTTCCTTTGATACCGGCCACATCCTGCTGAAGAAACACTTTAAATATGCAATCACACACTAAACCACACTAAGCCTCTTTCTGTCTCATTCTCCGTTACCTTGTTTGCAGGTGAGGGACTTTCAGAGGTGCTGCCCACGTTGCCTTTCTCCCACATACTTTTGATGCTGCGTGTTCCCCCCGTAGGAATATCTGCCACTGGAGACTTGGGAGATTTTACATCTTTGTTTCCCTGTAAAAAGATAATAATAATAATAATGGACTGCATTTATATAGCGCTTTTCTAGGCACCCAAAGATGTATTTAGTTACATTTACATGGGCAAACACAGGAGCAAGCTCAGGGACACAAATAACAACATAGATTTAAATTTACCCAAGAACATTAATGTACTTAAGCACAATTTTAAGATAACTGTGCTTCATTTCAATTTATCATTTTTATTCTACTATTTACTGAGATAAAAAGCCTCAAAATGATGATCGGCACTTTTCAGAGCTTTGACATTAGGTCCATGTTGCAATATAAATATAACTAACTGTAACTTTTAATCATTTAGTACCAAGTGAAGAAAATACAGCTTTAAAAAAAAAAAATTTAATCTACACATATTTAATTTGAAATATACACCCTTCATATGTGTATATTTCAAATTCGCAGGCTAACATTGAACATTTTATCTGCTACATTTACTTAGATAAGATTTTAAATCTTATCTAAATTTAAATCTTGATGGCTCCTCAGTCTTAACAAATATTTACTGTCCAGCTTTTTTTTCCATTACCATTTTAGTCAGACTCACATTAGTTAAAAATAATTATTCTTTCCATCTACAACCTATATTTGGAAGTATTGCTCTGTTCTGGGACCTACCCACCCATCTATGTGCATGGAGGTGGAGAATCTTAATTGGTGTGATTAATAATACCTGTGTTTACCTTCTATTTCATATGAAATAGGTCTACTGGATGTGCTGAATGTGAGTCATTATGAACCGTGGGTTGAGCTTGACTGTGTCATCTGACTGAACTAACACTACACTTCACCTCTCAGCCTGGTTTGACCCATTAATAGAGATGAGTCGATGACACTTAACCATACATAGGATGTGAGACTTGCTCCATTTAAACCATTTACACCAGAAAAATGTGTTTCTCGTGTAGCTGATGCATCATACTCTGACTTCAAATGGACCATCTTAAGGTTGTTGCATTGGTTGCAACTTAAAAGAATATATGTTCAAATAAAACATGACTATTACTGCTACCTTTATTAAGGATGGTGATTAATATTTAACATAGAGATCAGCTCTCACCTGGATGGCAGAAGTGTATTGTTCCATTCTGTTGCCAATCTTGGAGACAATAGGAGTGTGTGACACTCTGGCTGTGGTGCTGCACAGATGAACCAGGCACTGGGCATTAGTAAAAGCCACCAACCACTTATTTATCGTTTTCTCTTGTACTGGAAAAAAATCTTTTTTGTGGCTTACCTTTTCTGGGCTGATTTACTGAGGAATTCTGCCTTCTCCCCAATCTGCACAAAACAATGTGGATTTTTACACCAAGTAGCGTTTCAAAGCCACAAATCACATTCTGCAACTCAATTCAATTCTATTTATATAGCGCCAAATCAGAAGAACAGTCAGGAAGGGGCAGCAATCTGCCATGACCGGTCAGTGCTGTGAGGTGGGGGGACACGACAAAAGACACACTCTACAAAAAAAGCTATGGTAGCGTTGCACCACAAGGTGTCATTATTTTTTTTAATCAATAGCATACAGCTTATATCAGTGGAATTAAAACCAGAACTTGATAAGGGAATGCCAAATGAACAAAAACAGTAGTCAGGAAAAAATGTTTGACCATAAAGGGAGAACAACAATATCTGTGCTCCACTTCGCACAAAGCATGGAAACAGGGGGAAACAGGTTGGCTGGCTCTGTCATCAAGTAACAAAATGAACCAGGCAGCACTCCAAATCATCTCACAGTATGTGAGAAAACCTAGATTTGAAAATGAAACAGTGTGTTATTCGCTTAGTACATGTCGTTGAGTCTCTGGTTGCCTTCCAACCTCATGGTGACAAAAAAAAAACTCAAGGAATTTCTTTCAATTACATAAAAGTTTATAAAAACCAGATACATTATTTATACAAGACAGCTATATTTTACAGCCTGTACTATTACAGTGTCACTATTTTCAAGAGTTTACTCACACAAGTTATAATAAAAGCATTTTTCTCTATTCAGCTGGGTTTTCAGATATCTGGCTATGACTTCAAAGTTTGTTATTATTATAGTGCTCAAAGTATAATAAAGCATTTATTTAAATTACTCTAAAAAGATACACAGACACTTTTTGTTTCTACTGTGGATAAGTGGCCATATGTTTAGCTGGCTTTGCAGGATCTGGGCAAATACAACCGAGACTGTGTGTGTAAACTCAACTCAGTGAACCTTGTGTGACAACTAAGCCGTACGAACCAATTCTCAGACACTCACCTTAGAGGAGCCTTTGGGACTGATAGTAAAGGTTGGTTTTGTAGACCCCTCCTCCATCTGTTTCTTCTTCTCTGCAGCCTCCGCCCTCCTTTTCTCTATTTCTTCCTTCATCCTCTTTCTCTCCTCCTGTTACAAAAGCCCCATTTTGCTGTCACATTTCTGTAGCCACACATATGATAAATAGCACATATCCAAACCCATGCACTGTCTTAAATTGGTATATTTAACCCCTGAATGTCAAATAACACATCCTCGCCTGCTCCTTGGCTTTCTTTTCCTCTAGCGCCTGTTTCCTTTGCCTCTCCTCTTCCTCGAGGATCTTCTTCCTCTCCTCTCTCTTCCTCTTCAGCTCCTCCAGCTCTGCCTCGGCACCCTGCTGCTTCTGCTTCATCTTCTCAAACTCCTCACTTTCCGCATTGTTTCGTCTGCGCTTCAGCTCTTGCAGTTTTCGCTCAGCCTCCTGTCGCTCCAGGTCTTCTGCTTTAGTGGAGGGCGGATTGTCCCTGCTCGCAAACAGGCACAGTTTATTTAATTCACATGTTAAAATATGCAGATTAGACTTAACAGTGATCAAAATCATTGACTGTCTATAAGCAGTGGTCCCATTACATTGTGGAGACAGTTTGCCAAGATGTACCTTGATGTCTTTTCTGTTTTCTTTAATTTACTTTCAATGACAGCTCCATTCTGTTTGGTTGGTTCAATCTTTCAAAAAAGACGGGAAAAGAAAAGTTTTTCTTCCATAAAAGAAAAATAAACACATATTGAATATTGACAGCTAGTATTGTTTTACCTTCTCCTTAAACCCAAATCTCTTCGGCTTCTCTTCCTTCACACGAAGATGTGAAAATAAGAGAGAAAGAAAAGATCAGCAAGCATCCAGTGTTACACACACACACACACACACACACACACACACACACACACACACACACACACACACACACACACACACACACACACACACACACACACAGGACAAAGGCCATCAAACAATAGTGGAGTACTGGTAGTGAATGCAAAGCAGATGTAAGCTAAAGAGCTATGACACTGCAGCATCCTTGATATCACCACCTCCAGCAAAACACTGCGACTGGACTGTGATCTGTGACCAAACCACAAAACCACATCACACAGCAAAGCAAGAACAAACCCACATAAATAAAGAGTGTTTTTTTTACTTTGCAAATAGTTACATTAACACAAAAGTCCCACAAATCCCATCAATACCTCCTCTTTCTTCTTCTTCTCTTCCATCTCTCTCTTTTTGCGCTTATCCTCTTCCTCTTTTTTCTTCTTCTCTTCAGCCTCCTTTTTCCTTTTTTCCTCCTCTACTTTCTTCTTCTCTTCCACTTCCCTTTTTCGTCTCTCCTCCTCTTCTTTCTTCCTTTGTTTCTCCTCTTCCTCCTTTTTCTTCTTCTCTTCCATTTCCTTCTTTCGTTTTTCCTCTTCTGCTTTCTTTTTCTTTTCTTCCATTTCCCTTTTCAGTTTTTCCTCTTCCTCTTTCTTCTTCTTTTCCTCCAGCTCCTTTTTTTGCCTTTCCTCTTCCTCTTTTCTCAGTCTCTCTTCCACCTCGGTGTTCTGCTTCTCTTCCTCTTCTTTCTTTTGTCTCTCTTCCAGCTCTCTTTTCTGTCTTTCCTCCTCTTCTTTTTTCATTTGTTCCTCCATCTCTTGTTTTTGTTTTTCCTCTTCCTCTTGTTTAAGCCTCTCCTCAGTTTCCTTCTGTTGTTTTTCCTCTTCTTCCTTCTTTCTCCTTTCCTCCTCCTCCCTTAGTGTCTTTTCTTCCTCCTCCTTCTGGAGTTTTTCCTCCATTTCCCTTTTTTGTCTTTCTTCCTCTTCTATCCTCCGCTTTTCTTCCATTTCCTTTTGATGCTTTTCTTCTTCTTCTTGCCTCTTCTTTTCTTCTTCTTCTTCATTGTCAACACCAGGCGCAGGCTCATCTTCAGCATCTTTATTTTCTAAACCTGGCTCCTCAGTGTCCACCTCTGTTGCTGCAGCCTTCTCCTCAGTCTCTTCCTACAAAAACAAATTAAATTTACTTCCCGTCAGTTTTATGGAGTTGGATTAATGAGTCTAAAAGAGGTAAAAAGACATAAAACTCTACCTCATTTTCTTTTGTTTGTGTTCTTGATTCTTCAACAGATTCCTGACAATCACAACAAAAATAAATCAATTAATCAATAAAAAAAATCACAATATAAAAACTTTTTTCCCCAGTAAATACATTATAATTTATAAAACAAACAAAAAGGCTGAAACACATCTTACCTTCTCGTCCTCCTTTGTGTCTTCTTCTTCTTTCCTCCAAGAGTTAGTATCAGTTCTCGTCACCTCCTCCTGGGCAGATTCCTCCTCCTTCTTCTCCTCCTCCTCCTCCTCCTCCTCCTCTGTATTTTGTTGCCTGCTGATGCTGATGAAAGTCTGCTCTTCCAATGTGACGTCTGTGCCATTGGTGGTGCCAATTGTGGGATCGAGCTCCTTCTGTCTCTCCATGGCCTCCTTCATCCTCTTTTGCCTGCGTTCCTCCCTTCTGGCGAGGCGCTCCAGCAAAGCTTGATCATCATCTGCCCCTTCGTTTACGGCCGTAGAGGACTCTGTCTCTGTCACGCTGAAAAATTAAAGAACAAAAACAAAACACCAAAGATTAAATTCAATCAAAGTCAAACCTCAAAATCTTGGCTGCTATCAAATGTTTTGGTCTGATCAAGTGTGATGAACCCACAAGTCTTTCTGAGTGGAATTTTCTCCTGTGGCTAACCAGCAAAAACATCAATCCAAGAACCTCACAACCGCTGGAGCTTTCCAAATATTAAGGCTGGAGGGCTTTATCAATACCAAACACTTAGATAGGCTGTAGAGCTGCTGCGTTTTTCTTTTTCTCTCTCTCAGTGACGCTTACGCAGGAACAAAAAAGCATTTGAATAAAATTAAATGAAAAAACACTTTTTTGTTTTTTGTGACACAGTTAATTTGTGCAATAGGCCAAGGTAATAAAATGTGCTGCTTTTATACACAACAATTCAACTTGTGTGTAAATTTATTTTTCATACGTCAAAAAAAAGTTTTTTTTCATTAAGAAAACCCCTAATGGGAAGTTACTTATTTAACCTCATTCTAGATGATGGCTACACATCTTACCTGTTAGTGTCGATCACCTCAGTCGTACCAGATTCCTCTGAGTCTTTCATCTTCTTTCTCTCCTCCCTTGCGCGTCTCCTTCGCTCCCGAGCCTCTTCCTCATCATCATCATTGGTGTTACCTGTCCTGAAAGAGCACATGTGCAGAATTACAGTCTTTTGTTTAAAATGCATTTTAGTTTTTTGGGTTAAACCATGAAAACACGTCAATCCACGTGAAAGCTACTTTGGTTTAATGGCAGCTTTTGTGCTAAAATATCACTGTCTAGTGTTAATGGCTAAAACACCCAATGAATCCAAGGTCCACTATTGATGAGCTGTCTTTAAAAATTATACTCTAGATCAGATTTCCAATCCCTAAACCTAACCAAGGAAGTTAAATAATTTGTGACAAAAGGCCCGAAACACCCTGTGAAGTTAAGCCACAACTGATGATGTGTCCCGCTGGTAAAGCTTTCAGGCTGCCTTTCTTCATAGTAGCCATCCCTCAAGACTTTCTTCATTTGAAGCAATGCATTATCAGAGATTGTAACATCTAGTCCTTTATTGAATCTGTAAATGCCTTGGTTTGGAGTTTGTGATATAGTTTCGGCTCATGTTTTGTTTTTTGTTTTTTGCCTATCACTTTGCTTGTGTATGCCTATTAGTTTAACTTCCTGTCTCTGTCTTTTTACTACACGTTTGCCTACGTGAGAATGCTGGATCGTTCCCAATGGTACTTTCCTCTTCCAGTATTTGTACTAGTATTAAAAGCTGACTGCAAATTCACTTTGACGCTGTATAGATGAACAGATGAAAACAAATTATGGACCTAACTGTAAATGCTTTGAGCTCCATGGACCTCGTGGTTGTGCCTACTTTACTTGTGACACACTATGACATGTTATGTAAGGCTTTAGTGTAGAGTGGAGTTTCCCATACACATTTTATTTTATGTTTTTAAGAAACCTAAAGTGACAAAACAAGTGTTTTTCCTGATAAAAATTTAAGAAACTTCACATAAATCAAAAACACAATTTCCTCCAAAAGAAATATGTGATATGTGACATTTTTATGTTGACCACATGAGAAGCTAAAGCCATACCATCTAAAGCTGATTTTAAAAGACACGATGAAGATTTGAGATACCACAACTGAGAGGAAAATAGTCTATAAGAAATAATTATAAACACACGTGCTACACATGCAAATGTCACATCCAAGAAGATGCGTGTACTTCAAAAGACTGGCTCACTTGGGACTTAATACTACAACATGTAATATATGAAAAAGGGAGAAAAAACAACAGAATAGGGATACAGAACAATGCTGTTCCTCTCCATCAACCCCATATCTCCTGTCAGTGACTTTCATCCAGCTTTGAATGCTTCCACAGTTAATCTTTCAACATGCCTGGGAGTATCTTTTTAAGTATTACCAGGCTTTATGAGACAGAGAGGGAGCTTGAAATGGTCCATTGATAGCACACGGGTATTATTTCCCTCTGCTCTTCCTGAATCTGCGAGGCAATCTTTTACAGATGTTGCGAGAGGTGGAAGGCAACCGCAAGAATCCTTTCTGTCTTTAAAACAGCAACAAAGACCCAAATGAGGCGGAAAGCCAATAAATCCACAGGCAAAGATTTCTCCAAGTGGCACGGATCACCTAGAGAAATCAGTGAGGAAGCAATCCAATTAGAGAGAACCCCAGCCCAAACTTAGAAGCTTCCTGACTGAGTGCTGTCAAAATGTCACAGTTAAATTTCAGACAACCAGCCCGAGGGACACGAAGCATAATAAATGAGGGGAAATATGATGGGAGCTACTTGGCTAACAGAGGTGCTGAGTGAAATGAAGGAAAGAGGCTAAAAAGCTCAGCTCAAGCAGTGTAAGTCTGAAGCCCTCGGAGCAGGCTATTATGCACTGGAATAAAAATGACAGTCAAAACATTCCAGTGTCGGCAGCGTTTGGAGAGGAACTGGAAGGCATAAAAGGAAGGGCAGGCTGGTTTGGCATGGCCGGCTGTGAGAAAATTGCAAGGAATGCTCTTCGTTGCTTGGGCACTGATGGCACATCTGATATGACAGCACCCGACTGGAAAAAGCACAACATGCTGGGCTATGTTTGGACATCTTGATTATATGATCACATAAAGGATTAAAGTGATCATAATCTTTTCAAATCCATTCAGAGAGTAAAATGCAGTGACCGCAGTGTTTGATCATCAGTTTAATTAGCTCTGCGATTAAACACTTCTGACATCTTTAAGTGTCAGCATCTCTCACTTTGTTTCTACTCCACCTGAGGTCACAGCAAGTACAAACCTTCTACTTTACACCACTGGGGTGGATATCAGCACCATCTTTTAAACATTATTGTTTAATTTACTGAGCACATGAAAGAGACTGAATGAAACAACAGAGAATGAAAGGTAAACCCAAACAGCAGCACAGATGACGGTCCCCTTAATGAGCTCAGGATAGTGTGGAGATCATTGGGCCATTATCGGCTCTTCCTTCTGCTCCGTGTGGAGACAAAAAACTCCATCATGCATCTTTCCATACATCAAACAACATATAGTATGCATATATAGAAAGGCCTGCTCACTGACCATGTGTCCATGAGACGAACCAATCATCGGAGGGCACAGAAGAACGATCAGAAGAGGAACATCTTGTATAATGTTTTCAGAATGGCTCACTGCACCCAAGGGTTTAAAAGTGTCACCACAGATGTGACTGGGAAACAGCTGCTGTTTAAAAACTAAAAAAAAAAGTGTGTGTGTGTGTGTGTGTGTGTGTGTGTGTGTGTTTCGGAGTGGGTGAGTAGGCCCTGCTAATCAAAAATAAAATCTATCCGGTTTGTTTTGTGAGCCGACACAAATACTTTGCATGCTAACAATGCTAATGAGGCTTTAATTTAAGATGATGTGGTGTAAGATGTTCTGATATTCACAGTGCATTCACCCTTTTTTTGTGAGTTTCACTTGTAATTTTAAGTCTGCATGCTCAGGACTGTGTCTTTTGTGTGTGTGCGCATGTGTTGTTTTGCGCAGGTTTTACAGGATTACTCACTTTTCAGCTTCAAGGCGCATCTGCTCTCTCCTTTGCCTCCTCAGCTCCATGCGACGGTCAAAGTCGTCATCCATGGTGGCCAAAAGGTTCTCCTTGCTTTCTCACTAAAAGACACAAATATAATGTCAGCATGAGTATCCTAAGTTAAATGAAATGGACATTTACTTTTTAATGCACATGTAAAAAAAAAAGTTTAAACTCAATTAACAGCAGCTTGTAGGGTCCAGATTAACAGACACACATTGCAATATGACAAAGGGCCCACCCAAACTTTTTTTAACATATGAAAAAATCAATAAAAACTTCTGTCTGCTGGTTTACAATACCTTAGCAATAGCGAAAGTTGAGTCCACGGACAACAGAGACTCCTCTCCTGTCATATATCAGCTCCCACAGTCTGGTTTATTTCTCAGTCCTTCTGCAGCGCAAAAAGAATTCCTGCTTGTCTTTGCAGTGACTACAACTACCAGAAAAGGCAAAGCCTGCCTCTCTGCTCTCCTCTTTTTCTTTCTCAGCCTCCCTCCTCCTCAGGCAGACTCCTGCTCGCTCCCTCTGACTCTCACTTTTCCCTCCCTGATCTCTGAATTTGGACTTAAACTTTGTCTTATTCTGCTTACTGTACCTTGTCTGCTTTATCTAGCTTATGTCAGATGTGTCGGTTTTAATTTATAAAGGTTTCCACAGAATTATTCCGTGCTTCTAAAACGCTATTCACTGCACAACACTTACTGGTCACAGGACAGCTTTGCAGTGCGCAGTGGTTTCTATTTCAGCAATTAGCCTGGCATGACGTTGGTTTTCAGTTGCCAAAGAAAAAAAAATGCCATTAGCCTTTTAATTACTTTTTTCCAACTAATAATTACTATAATGAATAATATTTGTAATTACTGGCTCTGTACTGGACAGATACATTTGTTATTAAATAGAGGAAGAAGAGTGCAATTTTTTCTCTCTCATTAAATTATTCAAACATGTTTGACTCCTCGTGTTTCCCTATGCTGTTATTGTAGTTTCATTGAAAACAGATAAAGAGATCCAGTGGGAAACGCAATCTACAAACAGGTTTCTTTGAACTTCAGAGGCGGGGCATTCCTGTGCATTTAAAAGGTAATTAGAGTTTCCAGCATCACAGATAAAATCATAGTTCTTGTAAAAGGTTGCCAAAGCTTATAATCTACAATCAACTGTTCAGCTAGATCAATCAACTGAAAACCAAAGCCCCCATTTTAGTAATAATAAAGCTGTAATCTGGCCTGCAGGGTTTCCCAAAGCTCACTAACGTCATACAGCCTGTGCCCAGTAACTAATTGCTAGTCTTTCTGGCTTAGAGAAAAGAACTGAGGGTTCATTTAAATGCACAGACTTAGATAAAATGGCTTCTTAGGCTGACACAAAATCTTTCATTTATAGCAGTTTTTGTGTCCACAGTGTCCTCCCACTACAGACATGGATGCTAAGGTAACTGATGGTTCTTGGCTGAAAATGTGAGTGTGAGGGGGAACTTTTGTGTGTGTGAGTGTCTGGCAGTCCTGTAGGAACCTGTCTAGTGAAATCCTGCTTCTACTCCACTGTCATCACATCCCTGGTTGGTTAAAATAGCTGAAGGACAGCAAATTATTGAAAAGTTAGGGAATAAACCAAAGTATATATTTATAAATGGGCTGCTGCTGATCCCACATTTGTTATTGGAATAAGACTGCTCAAATCCAGTGTTCAGCATGCAATAAAATTATAGTTTTCCAAATGTTTGCTCTTTCTTTGGATGAACATGAAGTTGTGCAACTAGCCAATTGCTCCTACAGTGGGGCAAAAAAGTATTTAGTCAGCTACCGATTGTGCAAGTTCTCCCACCTAAAATGATGACAGAGGTCAGTAGGGATGGGTTCTGACATAAACGGTAGTAACCAGACCGAAAAGCAGCGCACATTTCGGTGCTTTATTTCGGTGCTTTTTTTCCTGAGCTGTGATACACTTCTAGCCAATCATTTTACGTTTCCAAGGATAGTAGGCGGGGCCAGGTACGTACGTTCTTTTATGCAGAGCTACAGATTAAAAATGCCCAAGGCGAAGCGGTCAAAAGTCCGGCTGTACTTCACAGCAAAATATGCAAACTCAGCAGCAACAAGTGCTTTAAGCTGATACTGTGATACTGTCAAAGGAGGTAACACCTCGAATCCGATGAAACACCTGGCAACGCATAGCGTTTTTTTTTTAAAAGCCGAGAAATGCGCCGTATTTGATGGCAGCAGCAGCCGTTCTTCTCTGCGTGAGTAGCTTAATGTTGTTTGTGTGTAATTACGTTGAGTAGGCTAACCACGTTATTACATTAATGCATGTAAGGTAAACTAGCAAACATCATCATAGCTACATGCGGCTGTCTTCTTGTTTGATGGCAGATACTCCCTTCACCCTGGCCAAAAAGGCTAAAATGACCAAAGAAAAAGAGGGAAACAGCTAAACATGAGAGGTTTTTGGACAAAGTTTGTATTTTTTCCATTGTTTAAGCACTGCTTCCGGCTAAGAGTGATACCATATATGCCCCATAGCTGCAGAAAAGGCACACATTGTTATCTTTTTACAAAAAACCAGCTGAATATGAGAGGTTTTTGGACCAATTTTGTGTTCTCCATTCTTTAAGCACCGGTTTGAGCACCGCTTGAGCACCGGCACCGTTTCAAAAGTACCGATTTGGCACCGGTATCAGATAAAACCTAAACGATACCCATCCCTAGAGGTCAGTAATTTGCACCAGAGGTACACTTCAACTGTGAGACAGAATGTGAAAAATAAATCCATGAATCCACATGGTAGGATTTGTAAAGAATTTATTCGTAAATCAGGGTGGAAAATAAGTATTTGGTCAATAACAAAAATACAACTCAATACTTTGTAACATAACCTTTGTTGGCAATAACAGAGGTCAAACGTTTACTATAGGTCTTTACCAGGTTTGCACACACAGTAGCTGGTATTTTGGCCCATTCCTCCATGCAGATCTTCTCGAGAGCAGTGATGTTTTGGGGCTGTCACCGAGCAACACGGACTTTCAACTCCCGCCACAGATTTTCTATGGGGTTGAGGTCTGGAGACTGGCTAGGCCACTCCAGGACTTTCACATGCGTCTTACGGAGCCACTCCTTTGTTGCCCGGGCGGTGTGTTTTGGAACACACTCATGTTGGAAGACCCAGCCTCGTTTCATCTTCAAAGTTCTCACTGATGGAAGGAGGTTTTGGCTCAAAATCTCACGATACATGGCCCCATTCATTCTGTCCTTAACACGGATCAGTCGTCCTGTCCCCTTGGCAGAAAAACAGCCCCATAGCATGATGTTTCCACCCCCATGCTTCACAGTAGGTATGGTGTTCTTGGGATGCAACTCAGTATTCTTCTTCCTCCAAACACGACGAGTTGAGTTTATACCAAAAAGTTCTACTTTGGTTTCATCTGACCACATGACATTCTCTCAATCCTCTGCTGTATCATCCATGTGCTCTCTGGCAAACTTCAGACGGGCCTGGACATGCACTGGCTTCAGCAGCGGAACACGTCTGGCACTGCGGGATTTGATTCCCTGCCGTTGTAGTGTGTTACTGATGGTGACCTTTGTTACTTTGGTCCCAGCTCTCTGCAGGTCATTCACCAGGTCCCCCCGTGTGGTTCTGGGATCTTTGCTCACCGTTCTCATGATCATTTTGACCCCACGGGATGAGATCTTGCGTGGAGCCCCAGATCGAGGGAGATTATCAGTGGTCTTGTATGTCTTCCATTTTCTGATGATTGCTCCCACAGTTGATTTTTTCACACCAAGCTGCTTGCCTATTGTAGATTCACTCTTCCCAGTCTGGTGCAGGTCTACAATACTTTTTCTGGTGTCCTTCGAAAGCTCTTTGGTCTTGGCCATGGCGGCGTTTGGAGTCTGACTGTTTGAGGCTGTGGACAGGTGTCTTTTATACAGATGATGAGTTCAAACAGGTGCCATTCATACAGGTAACGAGTGGGGGACAGAAAAGCTTCTTACAGAAGACGTTACAGGTCTGTGAGAGCCAGAGATCTTCCATGTTTGAGGTGACCAAATACTTATTTTCCACCCTAATTTACGAATAAATTCTTTACAAATCCTACCATGTGGATTCATGGATTTTTTTTTCACATTCTGTCTCTCACAGTTGAAGTGTACCTCTGGTGCAAATTACTGACCTCTGTCGTCATTTTAAGTGGGGGAACTTGCACAATCGGTGGCTGACTAAATACTTTTTTGCCCCACTGTAGGTGCCCTCCTACTGCTAGTAGTGCAAGCAGCAACACTTAATCGGTCGCTGGGCCGTGCTGATTTAGAAAACATCATACCAATTTTTTTGTGAGACTGCAGCTGAAAGTCATGCACCCTGTACTGAAAATAGAAAATAAAATCAGTTTAGTCTTGAGCCAAAAAGACTGCAACTATCTTTAGGAAGCTCTAACCTATGACAAATAGGCATTCCTGTCTTTCACAATAGAAACAGAACAAGAGCCAGCACTGGGAGATTACATCACACTTTTTAACTTAAGGTCAAACAACTCTATTTTCTAGCCTTAGAAACAATCATACAATACATTATAAGGCAGTTCAAAGAAAGCTTAACCCGGCTAGCTTTACTTTCATTCTTGGTCATATAAGGTTATACTAAAGAGGGCCACTTCACTCTCATCGCTGTATTTTTGTTTCAAGATTTTCAGATCTGCAGAGGAGCCCACCAACAGTAAGCAGTGCATCATAATGGGACATAAGCATGTCACAGTTTAGTTTGTACTATGACCGGTACCATACACAGTCATTTAGACTTACAAACAAAATGAGCCAAAAGCGTCCCTTTCCCTGAAACACCCAAATCTGTTGAGTTTCCCAGGAAAAGGATGGCACTCTTTTAGACTTTACCCTTGTGGGAAACTGAACAGAGATTTATTGGCACCGAAAAACTGACACCCCCGTTTTGATGCTGGACTGAACCACCACTTACAACCACTGGCACTTTATATAATTACTGTATAATTTATCCATATCTTACTGATCTTGATTGCACTACTGTAAATCATACTGTACAATACAATAATTATAGTTTTACAACTGTTTATTAATACTTGCAATTGTATATCTATAATCTGCTATAGCTTTTCATATTTATAACCATACGTATAACCTGTTCATAGCCTGTATATAGCTTGTACATTCACTTCAGTTATAGCCTGTACATACTTATTCATAACATACCTTCATACCGTGTACATTGTATCATATCTCTAATAGATCTATATTCTGTAATATATCTATATTATTGCTAATGTACTTTCAGGATGGATGCAAACTGCATTTCATTGCCATGTACTTGTGACGTGTGCAATGACAATAAAGTTGAATTCTATTCTATTCTATTCTATTCTATTCTATTCTATTCTATTCTATTCTATGCTTTTCTAATAGATTGCTTAATATATACATATA